TTATAAACAAACAAATATCATATCTGTAAGAGGTTATCGAATGTGTATTGTCTCCTCTACTCGGTCGACCGAATAATCGAAAAACCATAATTAGGAAGAATTTCCAAAAGCAATAACTTTTTTATTGATAATCTCGTGTTGGCGATAAACATTCTAAAGTAAACGTAAAGGACCAGTACTTTAAAAAATTGTTAAACATAAAAACTTGCACTCCAACTATATATTGTCTTTGTCACACGTTGTATGGCCTGCCGGGACGAGTGCACGGCTCCGCTGTATCGTAAGAACCTTAGTGAAACGACCGTGGGCCGGGGGTCACGACGTGATACAAATCTCATGTCTCAAGTCGCGATTATCATTTCACTTCAAAACCACGATATGACCACGCACTCTTGCACAGCGGGCCTACAACGAGGGGCAAGCTATATCGATAACTCAAATTCAAATTAAAAAATCTTGTTTAAACATTTGTAGCGCGATGCACTACTGAGCCGCGCATCATCGGTTCGCTAGATCGGCAAAATGCACCACTGGGCCTCGCCAAGCTGTGAAGGATTGACATCGTGAATCAATGCATACGCCATACATTAATTCTAAATATATTGCAAAAGATTAGATTCGATATCGATTCATGAATTTTAAGTGAAATTGTTGCAGCTATTGCAAAATGTACAATATCAGAAAAATAATATCGATTCATTCAAAGCAAAGCACCCCCTGTATAGTATTTCTGCAGAAGTTGCGTTGTAGCGCGATCCGTTACTGGGCCACGCATCCAATAATGCATTTAGATCGGCGAGATGCGCTACTGTGCCGCGCCGAGCTGAGATGAATTGACATGGTCAATTAATAATGCATTCAATAATGCTTCGTTAGATCAATGAAATGCGTTACTGAGCCTCGTCGAGCGGCGAAAAATTTACAGTATCAATTAAAAGTTGCGAGAGTCATGTTTGATGCGCGGCGCGGCCCAGTAGTGCATCATGCTACAAGCACGTTCAATTTGATAAGTAAAGTATTGTATCACGTGGTGACCCCCACTGTCGCTTCACTATGGTGGAAGAGTACTTCGACAATACAGGGGGAGCCGCGCACTCGTGCGCGGCGGGTCATACAACGTATGACAGTAGTATGACAGTAGTATGACAGTACAACGTATGGCAGTAGTATGACAGTACAAGTAAAGTAAAGTAAAATTTATGTCATCACATCATCACACATAGCTACAAAATATCATTGCATTATATAATTATGTAAAAATATAATAAATATTTCTCCACCAAATTTAAAAGTAATAATTTATCAATTATTAATCATGAATAAAAACAACATTAAAAAAATTTAAATTATTCATACTTCCCAGTTGTCGTACGTTGTATCACCCGCCTCTACAGAGTTTCACTATAGTGAAGCGACAGTGGGGGGTCACCACGTGATACAACTCTATCGTACGATAAACGTCAGAATGACGAGAAACGTCCAATTATTGCTTGCCCATCGAGGATAAAACTCCTAGTATGCTATCTGCTTATTTGCATGGTGGTTGTGATTTGAGTATGATCAGTAACTTATGTAGAATGCGTGCGCATATTAAATAAGTTGATATATCTTAACAGCTACATGGTTCACCCAAGTCTGACATCTAAGTAGGTTCTAAAACTAGGTTTTGGGAGGATCGTTTCTCTTTACCATTATTTAGTATTTGATGCCTCATCAATGGGTCAGAATTAAGCTGACTTGCTTCTTCTTGACGTCTGGAGGCAGTTTGTTCCAATTGGAATAATTCGCTCCGGGAGAAAAGACTTTTGGATATTCTTGATTTTAGTTAAATTTCTATTACATCTATTGCGTGAAACAAAATTATTGTTGGTACATATGAAATAGTTTTATACTTTTCTTGTTTCTGTACTAAGTGGATGTGTTCCGACAATATTTGAATGGGGGAGTCGTTTAAAATCACGTTCGACGTTTTGAGGCACTTCAACTTAACAACAAACAAAAGTTACTCACGCTATTGTGTTTTTCACGGTGAAATAAGACAGAAGCGTTTTTGAGCTTTTTATTTTTTACAAATCTATCCAATGAAGCTTAAGAAGCAAGTGAAAGATTTAAGCAAAAGTAAACTACTAGAAGCGCAGCCCGAATTACTGAAGGAACCGTATCATTTAAGAAAGTATTAATCTGGGATCACAAGAATAAATTAAAAAAGATTACCTCCTCTCCGTTCCTCACACACTTCTATTGGAACAAATAGACAGGATGGTGGAAGACTGGACATGAGTGGGAGATCGTTCTGATTGCCGCTGGACAGGACATTCACAGATGTACGGGTACTTCACGCTCAAGCCCAGTCTAACAGCAACAAGAGCATCTCGCAGATGTACCTATCACGAGAAAAACAAAAAACGTGAGTACTATGAGAGAGTCCTCAATGTGGAAAAGGCTACATTCCCGCCACTGGTGTTCAGCACTATAGGAGGAATGGCGTTTGAGGCTTGACAATTCCTGGAACATCTTATTGAAAAGGTCATCCTTATGAAAGGCCAGAGGCTCTGTGATGTGATGTCATTTATAAGACGCAGACTGCGTTTTGATTTGCTCAGAACCTGTATAATCTCTATCAGGGGTTATAGAGGTGACAGAACCCTTACACCTACAGCCATAAATGATTTGGACATTAACCTAATAAACACTCCTAGTACATCTTAAAAGGTCAGGAGTACTTGTTGGGTGAGGGTCTGAACTGCTTGTTGTTGTGATGTGAGCTTGTAAATTTGTGGAATTTTTTTCAGGAGCTACGTGGCCTAGTGGTTAGAGCATCCGCCTTCTACGCAGAAGGTTCAGGGTTCGAATCCCAGTGTCACCTAGTCTAGGGAGTAGCTAAGGATCCATTGGATCTATGCGATCTCCTCGGTCGACTCAGCCGAATGATAGGAAACTTAATTGAGGGTTAAATGAGGAGGAGTACCTGTTACAAGTTCAAGAAACTTCCTAGGACACCCCTTCAGTGCATACTGTAAATATAGTACTATTAACTATTATTCTAATATACCAATTTATATAATATTTTAAAGGGTTTTATTTTCTACCCTGGTTCTTAAAACTTTCTACCGTTTTATTGTATTGATTTTTATTTTCGGGGGTCATTGGCTGGACCATGACCATTGCTCTATTATGTGTATATTGTTTGAATACTAACTTTTTATTTGTGCACATGAGCACCGACCTCACTGATTTGTCACTGGTCAAAAATTCAGTCAAAACCGCCAAATTTCAGTCAAGGAAAGGGCAGAAAAGCTTTTCTTCAAAAATAGATTAAACGCTATTAATATCAAATACTCCACCCAATTTCAAAATTTTCATTCCATCAAAGTTTTCTCCGGATACATAGCTTCCAGTACCTTGATGACGACTTGTGTCACTCTCACCGACCTCACTGATTTGTCACTGGTAAAAAATTCAGTCAAAACTGCCAAATTTCAGTCATAGAAATGGCAGAAAAGCTTTTCTTCAAAAATCTTACAAAATGTCTCCTTCTATTCTGGTGATTTTCCGTTTGTCAAAGATTTCTTTGGGAATAACAGTTTCAGTGCCTCAATCCTGTCTTGTGCCATCCTCAGTGACCTTACTATAAGGAAGCCGACCCTACTTATTTGTCAGGCTGACCCACCTGATAACCATAATACAAGATCAACCAAAATTTTTAACATGATTACTCCAAAAATTAGAATGGATGACTTTACCATGAGTGTGATGTGTTTGCGGGGAAAGCTTAAACGTGCACTATTAAATAATCAACACAGCCCCCCCCCTCTTGATTGGACAATCAAAGATTTTGACTGCAACAATATTGTCTTCGAAAGATCACTACTTGCTGGTCACACACATGTCAGCGAAATTCCCCTAGTCTAGTGTTTTCCAAGTCTTGTTCTGTGAGAAAAGTATGTGTGAGAAAGTCTTTAATAAAATAAAATGAATGTATATTTTTGAATTTTTAACATTTAATTTGATAATGCAGTATAAAGAAATTTTTAATTAGCACTGTATAGTTTAAGATATTTATATTAGCTTATTATAACCATTGATACAACGAACATAATTTTTCAACAGCTCTCCAATATCCATCTTAAAGTTGCATCTTATATCCTCGAACTACACAATTTAAACTTAGGCATATATATAGTGTAGACTTTCTGTCACAACAAGACTGTAACCCATAGTAACAAACACAAACAGAACCCCTAACGTCTGCTAACAATTTTCTTCTGATCCTCATATGAGCCCTGTCTCTAAAAACTCAACTGAACTAGCGTTTTGGTGTGTGCAAAAGCTTTCAGGCACGCACATTCCCTGCCCCGTTAGTTGCCTGTCCCTTCAAAATCAAACTAACAGTCAAGGACAAAAAGTCATACACCAAATGAGCATTATATTTTTATAAATTGTTTTACATCTCTTTACTCTGTAAAATGTGCTAAAAATTAAATTTCTTGTTTCATTGAAATTTCTTGTTTCATTGACTATATGGTCATTCAAGAAAAATTCAAGTTACCGGTAGGAAATTTCAAAATTTCTATTCCATCAAAGTTTTCTCCGGATATACTGGTTTAAATACCTTAATGGCGACGTGTGTCACTCTTACCGACCTCACTGATTGATCAGTGGTCAAAAATAAAGTTAAAACCACAAAATTTCAGTCAAGGAGACCGGAGACAGCAGAATAAAGCTCCTCCAAAAAAATCTTCAAAAACCTCTTCTTATATTCCGATGATTTTCCGTTTATCAAAGCTTGATAATACAAAAGAAATCTTTTGAGATCTTCCCTGCTTAGAGCTTCAATAATTTTGAAGAATCTCAACTTTTTTCTGCTTAATGGGAAATTCTCTGCATCATTTATAGATGATTATAACATATTTCTATAATTGATTTTTTTTATTCCATTACGTCAACAATATGACCTAACTGTTAATGACATATTATAATAAACCTAATCACATAGGTTTGTTGATGGATTATGACGGTGATGTCAAAGGTATTCTCCAGAGAAAAGAAGCAAGTTTCTGGCAAACTTACCACTTCCTGCTTGTCAAGGACCGACTTCTCGTATTTGATATTGACAAGGTTGGTTGTTTGGCTGGATTTTAATTACCAAATTAATTTTGAAACAATGATGTTGTTCAAATTATATCGTTATCGATACCCTAGCCATACTGAGATGCTTTATTATATTTTCAGAAAGGAAATAGGACTGGTCAGATAAAAGAGATTATCGACTTGAATCAGTTCAGTGACTTTACAGATCCAAGAGAGAACCACATAAAACCAAAGGCACAATCTGTTAAAGGTACCAAATCCAGAAAAATCGGGACAATTTAAATTAGAGAGTGAAACTGATGTCATTTTAATTGATTGTCGTAAATTTCAACGATTAGCACTGATGATAAATATACCAATTTTCCTAAATTCAGAGAAAGGAGGAAGTCTCCGACACAAGCAAAATAACAATGTTTCGCTCAGTAATACCTCTGCACTCAACTATCTAGGTGAGTTTCAATCTTTGAACTGAAAGTATGCTGATAAGCTGAAAGGAAGTTGGATCCAAAGCTTTAAAACAAGAAGTTTGTAGTCCATACAATTATTAGAATATTCTGCTGCACAGTATTTATCGATTGAATACCAGGGATATTTACAAATGTCCACTGCAATTTTGTAAACAATAAAAAGCCACTTCTGACAATGAACAGTTGAGTAATTCGAATTACTAAATGTTGAATTTCTAACATCTAAGTCTAACTTTATATTTTTGACAACATCTATCAAGACGAATCAAAACAAAATGACACGATGTCATTTGGGCTCACTTTAGTCAATAAAATAAATAATGAACTGTCATATTTTGGAGAGGTAGAGTCACACAAACCATTAAGTTTTAATCGAAATTCCTCACTCTGCTTACTCTAGAACAAGACCGGAACTTTGTGTACAACTCAGTAATTTCATAAATCGGACAATGTGCAATGTAGAAATTCATGTTATATTCGGAACGTTAATTTGCACATTGAATGCATCAAGAGTCAAGACAATAAGTCTTGTCATTATTCTTCCATTTAATAACTGGAATTAGGAACGTGTAATTGTAATCCCAAGATAAACTTCCATTTGAAAGTTACGCCATCACAGGTATAGATTTCCCTCCTGAGTACACTATGGCGCTGAAAGCAGTCAACGAGAACCAAAGTGACCTGACACTGCGCAGTTCCAACAAAGAGGACGCTGAGATGTGGAAGAATGCGCTGTGTTCTGTTTTCTGCCAGGTAAACTTCTTCAAGCCGAGTTATGCGCGGAGTTATCATATTAATAAATTTATCCGATATTATTTCATATTATCAAGAAATATAATTATATTAGATTTCACAAATTTCCAAGATCCATCCACTAAGCATTTACCCACAAATTATAAATACATCATCATTGATCGACCAAGGATGTAACCGAGGCGTGGTCAATTACTCAGTCACATACTTCTTTGTTTCATCATAACAGCAGAATTCTATTGTACCAATACACTTTGAAGTTATCGTGCAATTAACTCTCGATAGGATCATACCAAATCTCTAAAGAATGCTATACACAATACTATTTGGCCGCAATCATGAGCATGACTGAACAACATATTCAAAAGAAGCTCATCAGTTCAGCAATCACAACAATTGCCCTGAACTCCAGCTCCCTGAGTTAAAGCGCATGCAATCATCATTGCAACAGTTCCCCATCACCGCCGATATTGAAGGCACCCAATCACAGATCACAGAGAATAGCTACCAGATATAATCCGAGCAATCGAATGAAAACAACATGCGCTGTGTACAAGAGAGGGCCCCGGTTAGGAGAAGATGGTGGTATATAAGATTGCATTGCAGCTGGGGGCAGCAGTTGGGGGCCAGGTGCTGCTAGGGACCGCTTCACGTGCCGTCAGCCCCTCTAAACGAGAGGTGGATGAGACAATACTCCTCTACATGTGTTACTACATGTGGGGTTATGATTCTTAATCTCACGTTTCGAGTGTTCTGGGTGGTCTTTTCTTGACGTGTATTAGGTGATTTGTTGAAGCGTTGCAAGCGAATTGGACGATCTTGCATCATGTTGATTGTAGTAGAATATTCAGAGCGATCTCAGTTTGATATTGACTGGAAATTTATTGGTTTTCTAATAAAATTTCCCAAATTTTAATAAAAATGGAATTGACTGCAATCTTCCATTCTTCGTCGCGGTTTTTATATGACCTTTTCTGTTTCCGCGGCCTTATAAGGCTACAATCTCTTACAGTCATCTTGGTGATCTTTAGGTTAAACGATTAACAGTGGCTTCATACTAATAACTTTTCAATGGCTAGCCATTCTCCATTATTCGTACGTCTCCAACGATCTTTGTACTGAAGTGAAGAAGTTGCTCGAATATCCGTTCTACGGAATTCATACCTGACATCTTTCCGCGTTGTACGGTGAACTACTTGAACAATTCCACATCATAGTACAATGATAGATATCTTAGCTAGTTCAGAGCACGCTACCTCATTACGTAGGTTAAATTCATGGTTCATTGAATTCCACATAATATCTCAGTAGAGATATGCTCAACGTGACGTCTTGATCTTTTAATAAAAATCTAATCTCAGTCTAGTAGACTTTGTCTCAATCTGTCTCCATCCCTCACTTTATATCTTCATTAGTCCACATACTTCTATTTCTTACACGGAGCTGGAAGTAGGATTATGTGAGGGATTTATTCTTGTGCCACCAATTTCTGACATGCCCATTTCGGTATCCGTACGAGTAGTACTGGGCTGTAAGTTGAACCTATGACTTCTTTAATGGCCTGTTGAAAGTTGGCCTACCAATTTCCGTTAACTCATCAGTGTATGTAGAATATACTCTTTATATCGTTATATTTTCTGTTGTCACTTGCACTTTGCTTAATCTATAAAACATCCTTATAACTTTGATGTGCTTAATAAAATAGTCTTCAGTTTTTTGGAAATACAGAATCTGCTGCTTTGTGTAACTGTAATCGAAATTTGCGACGAAATGTTTGCCGTTTTTCAATTATTCGAGTGCCGAGCGGAATATGTGATGAAGACAACAATTTTTCAAGTGGTCTTTATGACTCGCGGTATCTGACGGTTCAAATTACGATCTATTCATTTATATTCTATACTTAGATCTGTCTATTCACTAAACTGCGCTGCTCAGAACGAAATTAATTACCATATCAGCTGAGTTTTTTATTTCATTGCACTAGGTGTTTAGGTAATACAATCTGAACTTTAAACTTTAAGCCCTAGTCGTATTTGGCTTATGCTCGTGATAACACGATTTACCGTGTCCGCTGGTGTCGTAATTTCGGTGAATTTACGCGTGAGTCGGTTACTGCGTTACAGTCGACGACCACTAAAACTGCTGTATTCAAGCTAAATGATGTTTAAAGCTCGGTTTGTGGGGGGATCATTGACATTCGGCATTCTCGTGTTATTCAATTTAGATTGATATCAAACCACGTATCTCGTACAATCATGAAAATTCCAAAATTTCAAGGAATTCTTAAAGTCATTAATTTCGAGATCCATCTCAAAATAACATTTATATCTAAAGCTTTGATGTCATGTGATCACAAATAATACGCACGTAAAATACTATTAACATTTAACAAGGAAAAATCAATATCTTTGTGGTAAGATTTGTATCAGTTCTCATATCTCGCCGACAGACAGTTTATTAAACCATTTTAGGGCCTGCGCTTTTCTCTCACGTTTTATTTCATGACTGACTACGTCTCAATATTGATATGTATTGTTGCTCTAGACAGTGACGTCCAGCAATATAAAACTGCTGTATACATATTATGTAATGGAAATATTGTTGTTCTTAAATTTGGATATATTTTGACGTTTGTACAGCTTTTGTTTTAGTTTTACTTTTTCCAGAAACTTGTTGATTCCGCGCTTTGATTTTTAAGGCAATCATGAAAGCGATGAGCCCTTTGAATGGGGCACTCAGGAAACTCGGTAGCTCGAGATATTTGTGGAAATGCTTGTAGTCTTAGGAAATATTTCTGCCGAATTCTTCTTTTAATTCAGCCAGTAAAAATCCAGCATTTGATTGTGAAGTAAGGTCCGTGCATTAAAACAGGGAACTGTAACTGCTATGTTAATTGTTAAAATATTATCTCGCTATTATCGCAATCATGTTTTGTATACAGATTCTTCGTCGTAGGGGGCTGTGGTCAATATCACTAATGGTAAGATCGTGACCACTGTAAGATAGAGCTTTGGAGCCCTGTGCTTACCCCGATAAAATTAATAAATCAAGAAAAGAAGGTATACAGATTACAGGTTTCTTCTTTAATTCTGTATACTTGATATTTTTGGCATTCCTGCTCCAAGGTTCTAAGATTGACAAGTTTTGGCACAGACCAACTATTCGGTAATAGTCTTTTATTGGGCACTGATTTACTTTAAAATCAAACGTGAGCTTACTATATCCAGGGATGGAAAAAGCCTGGAAATTTGCCAACCATGTTATATACTATATATATATATAATCACTTTACTATAGCATTTCCATTGCGACAATTGATTTGTTTCATCTGTCTGAAATATGTCCGGGAAATACCCCGTGTACGACAGGTATTTTGCAGTTGTTGGAGAGAGAGCGAGTGTTAGATCTGGACTACAACTAATCGTACTTGTTATATTTATTGTATTGTTTATTGTTAGTTGTTGCTGTTGGTATGGTACGAGCGAGATTGAAACATGGAATCAAGCGACATGGTTACAACCGGGCTACCATCAAGGTTAGTAGTTAGCTCAAGGTGTTGTATCACAATTTAAACTACAAAAACGAGCATTCAGAACACCCCGATTCTAAAGCTTTCGCTTGTTTTTTGGCTTGTTCACTCTGGATTCCTGAAGTTCTGACTCTGTGCTTCATTATCTGTAGAACATTATTTAATAATCGTCATCTCATGGATCAGTGTGGTTAAGAGGCTAGGTAGTGGGCACTGGTACATCAGGTTCCATTTTCTGAGCTCTTATTATTCCTTACATGAAAACCAAGAAACTTTGAGTAATTTTTCTCTCCTCGACACTCAGACTTCTCTTCAGCCATCTCTGACAGGAATTTAATGATTGGTATATGAACGAACTGTGAATTAATATTATCCTTATCTCACCCCACCCCTCGACCTGATCACGTGTCCAAAATACTGTTCTCTGATTGGTTGGTCAGGATGATGGGATGGTACGATTGGCTGGCAGGTTTGTGTATCTGGTAATTAGGTACTGTGAGTACAGAGTTACTGACTTCAGGAGAGGGTTACACACCGTTACATTAGATCAACTCTTTTCTAAGTTACAGTGATGATACTACACATTTGGGGACGTTTTTATCTTGATATACTGATTCCATCCTTAATTGGTTGTCCCTGGAATGCAAAGTGTCCAGTTTCGATAATAAGGTACAAAATACCATTACCAGTTCTGCTTAAAATGTGGAGTGCAAATTATAAATGTCATATTTAAACTTCAAAAGAATAAGTATAACAAGACGTGTCGTTAATCAAAATTACATTATTTACCAATATAATCTCAATAATCATTCGCACAAAATAAATAAAAGATCCATTGTAAATTACATTAAATGCTCAAACGGAATTTCAAAGGTTACATTACAAATCACAATGGATTGATTAAAATCGCGGTTTATTGGCCTTTGACCAATTTGTATAAAACATTCAGTGTACCACATCATGAGCTTGCTTCACAATTTGTCATTCATGACTCAAAAAATGATATTTCAGTCTCAGCTGCTATGTGCATATTTCAAACAATGCCAGTCAAATACAAAATAACGCTCGAGACTATTCTACTTAACACAGTGACGCCTACAATCTACAAGAGAAACCCGTCCTACGGACGCCTCCCCACTCTCCATTGTCACTTATAGGGGAATCTCACTAGATATAGCTCTTCCTTAAAGGGGTATCTCCGAGTTGATCTCCTTGATAAAGTTATGGTTCAGTTATTTGTTCTTTATTGAAGCGCTGAAGGAGTTGTTGAACAGAACTCAGGTAAAGAGACTTTTTACGAATAAAGGAATAAAGGATATCGAATAAAGGGTTAAAGACCATTTTTAAAATTCCGAATACTTTAACCCAAATTTATTTTTTGGGTGAAGAAATATCCCTGAAAACCATCAGAAACCATTAGAACCAATCGCTGGCACCCAGGAACCATCTTTTTGAAATGCTTAAAATGTCAAAATTTGTCAAAAAAAGTGTGAAAGGTGCAGACATTAAACATGTCATCAAAAATCAAACGATTTTCTCTATCATTCAGGTCTTCTAAAAATGTCCTCCAAAATCCAAAATTTCCTCACAGATTTTCGGCTGATCTGCCGCTTTCTGGAATTCTGGATGTGGGTGCTTTCACTTCTGTCATTCATCATTCTACTAAAAGTGCGTTTTACCACCACGTATCATAACATTTCACTAATCACTTCGTAGATTTTCCATAGTGTGACGTGAACGTCATCTAGTCTGTGACGTCATCTAGTCTGTGACGTCATCTAGTCTGTGACGTCATCTGTGACGTCATCTGTGACGTCATCACGTCTTAATTGTTACCATGTAAAAAACTCCACAATTTCAGAAACCTAAACCAGTCGACAGGACGGCTAGGCTCAAGAAAAGTGGTGCCGTCACAGTCAAGCGGCTCAAGAAATTTGTTGGTGAGTAGTTGATGTATTTTGTATATATTTTGATAAGTTTGGTTTCGTGTTGAAACCCTTGCCTGACAAATTTTTATAGAAGTACAATTTTGAAAGAAGTACAATTCTATGGAAAACCATTGAATTGGAAAATTGTTTTTGGGACGTATGGGTGGAATTTTGCAACTGGAATTTAGAAACTTAATTTGAGTTCCGTTTCTATGGGACAAAGGAATGTGAGCTAATTCTCAGGAGAGAAGCCCCAGGACCACGCCCCGCACTCACGTTATCGGAACTGGAATAATTGAACTGTAATGCTGACTACTCCAACATTATTCGAATACCACCAAGTGTTGATTTAATTTGGCCAGACAAATTTTGTGACTTGCTGTATGCTAATTATGGTGTATTATGTCGTTGATTTATGATAAGAATATGCCAGAGCAGATATCTGCACATTTTCATACCACGTGACCAACAGTGAACTGATACATCAACTCAGATATTGAATAATCTACAGATTACCCATTATATCTCACAATTACCATGGGCTGGATTGGTATTTGGTGTTGTATGTCGTATTACGTCACCACTGACAAATACATAGGGCCTCCTCAAGGGCCCCCTTGGGGACTAGGGTTCACAGAGGGCCTCCTCAAGGGCCCCCTTGGGGACTAGGGTTCACTGAGGGCCTCCTCAAGGGCCCCCTTGGGTACTAGGGCTCACTGAGGGCTCCTTAAGGGCCCCCTTGGGTACTAGGGCTCACTGAGGGCTCCTTAAGGGCCCCCTTGGGGACTAGGGCTCACTGAGGGCTCCTCAAGGGCCCCCTTGGGGACTAGGGCTCACTGAGGGCTCCTCAAGGGCCCCCTTGGGGACTAGGGCTCACTGAGGGCTCCTTAAGGCCCCCTTGTGGACTAGGGTTCACTGAGGGCTCCTTAAGGGCCCCCTTGGGTACTAGGGCTCACTGAGGGCCTCCTCAAGGGCCCCCTTGGGTACTAGGGCTCACTGAGGGCTCCTTAAGGGCCCCCTTGGGGACTAGGGCGGTGAACGGTGAACGTTCATTTTATCATGGCAGCTGCACTGTGCAGGAATTTCAAGAACACCGTCACGGTGTAACACCGTATAGGCAAGAGTTTGCAGGGTCATACTAAAAGGAACTGCCTTTGTTCAATGTCAAGTTCCATTCCACAGGTCTCAGCCATGGAGCTTGGGGGCTGGTACGAAGCGAAATAAGGCCAAGCTGGCTCACCAAATGGCCCTGCTAGGGTTGACAGATTGGAGATTAGACTAGAAGTGTTAGGTTTTTTACAGTCGTGTCTGTCTACAACCCATTGACACATTTCAACTAGATTCCTTATCATTGTATCTACATGGTATTATAGTAGCATGTCTGTCTGTCCCGACGTCTATTTATTTGTTCGTTTTTTGAGGCTAGATAGTTTTTGTTGTGTTTTTGCGATCATGAAGTATTTTTTTCGTGACTGTAAATTTATGGTATCTTGCATTTTCAGAAATTGATTTTTTCAACTCCATTTTAACATTAATCTACGTCCCGCTAGAAGCATGTGTTACATTTTTCAATAATTTTCGACGTTTTGACCATCGATTGTAAATATTTCGTGTGTTATTCCATTTTTGAGACAAATACGTTAAAACCGGTAACACAAATCATTTGCAAAAGGATACAGCACCGGGAATTCCCAGGCGGTCACCCATCCAAGTACTAACCCGGCCTGCAGTTGCTTAACTTCCCAGATCGAACGAGATGGGGTGTATTCAACCGAGTATGGCCGTATCCGGAATTAACGAAATTTTAACCTCCATATTAATTGCATTAATCATTTCCTAATTTCTTGCTTGACTTACGTGAGAAAGAAGCCTAAAATAAGTTTGCAGAAAACGTGAAAATGGCGAAAATGGAGGGAATTATTCTCGCGGTTGATAGTCACGATTTTAAACTGGTCTTGCCACAGATTGAGAAAATCGTAAGTGCGATTGAAAATTATTTCTGAAATTCCAATTGGTCCATGACCCACCTCCCGAAACAATTGCGATCTGCACTAGATCATTCACATTGTTATAGTCAACATACGTCAGTGTAACTTCCGGCATTCCCGTTAAAGAATTAAGACGTCTGTCTAGGTCCCACAGGGATATAAATATTCAAAGCGATGCACTATTATATATATTTCTTCCAAAAAACTGAATTAAAAAATATCGGGAGCAAGGCAGTTCACAAATTTCTCATATAGAAATGAGGCCAGAAGTAATTAGGATTCGACCACTATCTTTTAAGTATATAATGTGTTTTGCCATGAACAATAATACAATATTGACCGAGTGAAAAATCCATGACATACCCTCCATTTTTCAGGAAAACATTTTGACGTTGACTTTGTTATTTATGATCTAAATATTTTCCAAGTGGGTTGATATTGTCGAATTCTTAAGATAATAAGCACCTCTGACTTCCGGCTATGAACCTAAAACCACGTCACCGATATCCATATCGGAATCTAACACCACTCCAAAACATAGAAGAAACCACTAAAAATTAATTCTCAATATCTGTAGACCGGACCTGAAACACCCCGTTTAATTCCATCACACTGCTTTTACCGTCCAATATCCCCCGCTCTCGAAAGAAACAAAACTTGTAAGACATCTTCAATTTTCTTGGTATATTACAACTGCACAACTCGGGGTGAACTAGCCGTGAAGCTGACGGATACCAGAGTCTGCGACACAGGCTGGATTGCTCCTGATCAGTACAATCGTAGTGGTGATCCCTGGTCGATCTTGGCTGATTGCTATGTGTTGCGTGTTGAGCGTGTGGTCCTGTTGACTGAACATGCACGAATTCCTTGCTACGGAGTGTTACTCTTACTTGTTTTGGGTTTGTTTCTGACATATTGTAATTCTTTTTGAGAGCTGTTTTGTTGAGGTGATCTAAACGATTTTATAAAATCGGTTATCAGTCGAATTTGAAATATCTCGTTCTTGTTTCAACTTCTACACTTACTACTCCTTCATGATAATCACCTGCTTAACTTTGGTCGTTAACATCCTCATTAGAAGTATTGTTCTATACGACAGTCGTGTTATGAAGATGAGAAACTCGTTCCTCAACCTGGTGTCTTACCCAAATAGTTATGATTAGCGGTTTCTAATCGTCGACAGTAACAGTTATCCTTGACATACCATGCATCAATATAGATCTCGCTTTTATATTCCTGTTACCTGCTTAAGATATCCATGTTACTCCTCCTAATTTCGTGAGTTCCGCTTTAAATTGAGGGTATTCTTTTGTAAAAGATATGATCTTTAGTAGGAGATACGATCAGGATGTTATCTTGATCTTGCCAGAAGATCAAGATCACATCTTATATGGGCAGTACTACTGAAGCCCATTAGAATTTGTTAGAAACTATCAAGTCATTACGTAATAGTTATCACGTTTTAACTGTGCATTATATCCGTTATAGCTAGTAGTATTAACAATTGCCACTGCAGCCACATATTTTAAAGTTTTAAAACTGTACAGCTCAGCTATCTCGAATCATCTTGTCAGCATTTGACACATTCTGATTCTTAACATGTCCGGGAATCCCCCTAAATGTGACACAAGACGCCTCGCTCTGCTCACTTTATCCACATTTCCCGCACTTATTTTTCGGGGTTGTCTACATAGGATGGTTACTAATTTTTTGGCCTGACAGTTATCCAGTGTTCTAATGCCGTGAAATTCTTGTGTTTTTAGTTCTAATCGTACTTGGTTGTCAGTCGATTTGTCGGTTCTGTCTGGTGTACGCTCTAGAACATTTAGCTCATGCTTCGTGAAATTCAGTAAATTTTTGAATTTCAATACAGTTTGGTATAAAAATGGGTCGCCTAAAACTAAAAGGTTGTTTATTGCATGTACACTAAACAGTGGTTCTTAATTCTTTCAGAGCTGAGTACACAGAAATCAGGAGTCTTAGTTCTCCCTGATGGTGCTTCACCGCTTCAAGCAATCTAAAACTGGCTCTAACATGGAGTCAAACAAATGGCAATCGATCACCTTACAGCATAAAGCCGATCTCTGTACTCGATATTATCAGAGTATTTCACTGAGATCTATCGGCCGACCATGTGTATTGACGTACAGCTGCCACTGGTTATTATATCCTGTTTACGTCCTTTGATGATCTGCCACATTGTCAGTGTCTTGTGAGATGACTATACCTCTTTCCCACCGATCTTATCAGTTCTTTTTATGCTAAAAGTTAGAACGATGTCCAATTTTCTTGGCATTCAGTACCGTTTTTTGTTATGAAACTCACAAAATGTTTCCTGTTTTGATACTTTTACTTAGTTTCTATTTGTCTAGGAACATTGACCATGTATTTTTTCTTGAACATGACGCAGTCCGTAGTTTTGCGCTGTGATATTCACGGTATGTTTCCTGTTTCATCATCTATCACGTGACCACCCTCACGTCTTTACTACTCCTCCTCAATTAATTTGCAGTGTCAACATCACCAAGTCTCCAGATTAGACCCGCGACTGTCCCGTGTTATCAAGTATTATAACCGTGTGAGCATGTGTTTTCTGATTAGAAACTTACTAAAATGTTCCGATTTGGTGCCGCAACGACGAGGGTGTGGGTTCTAACCCTAATTCTAGTTCAGATACTGTTTCCATTTAATTTACACCACATTTAGACATGACATCAATGGTATTTAGTTGGAAAAGAATACCAATGCTTCGTCGAGGAGGAGTAAGACGTTTACAACACAAGCTCCTTAGTACCGTGTATATCTAAATCTTACAAATAATAATTAGGTGTTAAACATGATCAGTTGTTCAGTGCAGCTCTGTAATTACCATTTCTCGTCGCTCTCTCAATCTGTTTCATTAACACCAGACGAGAGAGCCATGAAGCCCTTCTCTTCCCTGTACCAGCAGAGTCCTGAAACCCTCCCGCACCACCCAGGTGCAGCTCGTGGAGCACTATCTGCTGTAGTATTTGTGTCTCCGTG